TGTAGAGAAATTTAAAGGGGAGGGGTTGGTACAGGATCTGGTGTCTGGCAGTGAACTGGATGGAGAAGTTGGCAGCGTGGAAGTGGCTGATTGGCTGCCTAGTCTGAGGTTATCCGGAGCTGCAGGGAGGAACATTTGGTACCCTGCGCTTGTTTTGGCGTCGCTCTGAGTGGAGCTGGAGGGGGCAGAGGCGGTGCTGAGTTTGATGCTGCTGGTTTGGTTGGAGCTGGAGGAGAAACTGCTCAGGGTGGAGGACGGGGTCTGGTTTCCGTGCTCCCGATCCTTGTCTTCTTGCGGCGTCAGGATCTGCAGATCTTCAGAGCCGTCGTCTTCGTCACAGGACTCGCAGAGAAAAAGCAGCTGCTGGTAATGTTTCCATTTGGACACGTAGGGTTTGTCAGACGCCCTGCTTGCCTGGACCGCCTTGAACTCGCGGTTAAAAACAGTTCGTAGGTTCTTGAACTTGCACTTTATATCTTCAACTGCAAAAACAGCAACACAGCATCACTTTATGCTGGAAAACTGAAACATTTAGCAGCTCAGAGCTTCTGGAGATTGAAGAACACAAACATGACTTTATTATTTTGAAAAAAATGTGTTTTTCTTTCATTTTCTATGCAGACATCTAACTGTATGAAATCACTGTGTGTGTATATTTCAGCTTATGTTAAAATAACGTAAACATATATAAAGGAACAGTTTCACAAATGAGCTGTGGAGAGTGATAATTAGTATTTCCCAAAGATTTACAGTCTGTGCTTTGGATGAGTGATACTCATCCTGTTAAATTGCTCCAGTGCAAATCTTATTAAGAGTAGGACCTGATCGAGACACACAACTTATGGACTGCGAGTACTCCAATAATAGGCTATATGTCCAGACGGCTGATATGATGCTGAGAATAAGGGTGGTCGCATTTCAGTAGGAGAGCGACAGTACTATCCTGTGAGCAGGGAATCCGAATTTCTCTCTAACAGAGCAGAGAATCGATGGGTAACAGGCAATTAGGCACTATTAAGCGAAATAGATTCATCATTATGTTCCAAAGCGAAATAACGCAGACAGATTTGATATCACTTCGCTCTCTTTCCTAGAGATAGAGCTCAGTAAAGCTATAAAACAGTCGTACACTTCTTTATACATCATGTTGCACGTGATCTTGGTTCCACGTGTCTGAAGGATTTCGAACAATGGATGACGTTCTGTCCTGGACAGGTGCGCAATTTTCCAAGACACTCTACACTCAGGTGGTTGAAGCAAAGGAGTTAGCTTTACACTATCTGACACGCAGAAGAGCCTGGCAAGTGGGATCATCTCTGGAGTCTGCTGTGGTCAGTCTTTCGATAAAGGTGGTGACTTTCCTGCAGCCATAAGCCCCACCTCAAACGGCCTTCTATTAAGTGTGCTGTAGCCACGTACTAATGAACAATAGAAAACCGAATTTTGTTTACTAGAGCAATCACATCCTCTAAAATTCCAATAGAATCTATTTTATATCACTGGTCATCCAGTGTCTTTTCAAGACAAATGGGGTAGATCGGTGAGGTATTTCGACACATACGATTCACCTCCTACAGCAACTGCAGACCATTCTCTGTACTAAGTGGCGCTGTCTATCAATCAGGATGTCGATACATACACTCATTCTCGTCCCTGCTGGTACCCAGCCAATCAGGAGCAGCCATTCTCCTTAAAGTTTTACTAATCGAATTCCTACAAATACTAATTGAATTCTCTCCATCCTTAACCCGCCTTCCACAATAACTACGAACTTATCCGAAGAAAACTGATGGAAAGCAAGCACAGTCCTAACTCATTCAAAATCAACAGTTGAGTGATTTGGCAGGACAACCATTAGCTTGACGCTGAACTGGAGGAAATTGCGGCTCTGCTTTCCATGTACATACGTCGTTCGTAAGACCAAGATAGAGGCAGCAGTCATGTAGGTGGATATATAGGCTCTGTGTTGGAAATATCCTTAAAGTAGTGGGAAAGGGGCAAAGTGCTGAAAGAGATCTACAGCACCATCACGCAAAAAGATCACAGACGCGACCGGTCTCAACCGCCCCCCACTAGTGGTGGAAGCTTTACAGCTAACATTGCCACATCAGGAGAGATATTGAAAAGTATAGCACTGTTAAAAGGGACCTGTCACTGGGACAAGCTAGCGCCTCGAACAGTCTGAGGTATGGGTGTCTCGATTAGGTAGAAAGATTATGCTGAGTTGTTTGCTATCTCTGTACCGGGCCTGACAAAAGTGAGGAGAAACGCATGAAAAACGAGAGTAAGTAGGATAAAAGCAGCGATTGATCAGCTTAACGAAGAACCGACTACGTGTCTGGATGGATTTAGGATAGCTTGGCTCGCTGCAGCGTCCCTCCAAAATTCACTAGCCTCAGTCTCGAGTCTCTTGTAGGCTATTTGTTTGTGGTAATGTTTTCTTCGCAGGACTTTCTTTGTTTAGAGAGAACAGCTATGTCTAATGATTAGTATAGGACATTAGGTATATCTCAGATGCATTAAATGAGATAATCACTAGTGCTGCTCATATTTATAATATAGAGCGATATATTATGATAATATTCGTATCGCGTTTAATCGCTATATTGCAGTAAAAACTCATAGATAATATGAAAGAGAAAACAATCTCAAAACTTCGGTACAATGATCATAATAACCACGATTTCAGTTTTCAGGGGCTCTTCCAACATGGAGCTGTTCCACTTCCTGTTCATCCACATCATGCAGAATAGAAATGAACTGAGCTAAACAGCTTAAATAGTGAGAAACCCACATTTCATGCTTATCAAAACACAGCATTGATAATGTAGATTAAATAAAACACTTGTGGCATTCAGCTTTAGATTCAATGTAGACGTAGATGCTGTGACATAAAGTGACCTAAAACTCACAGAAAACTGTTTCACCGCAATTCAGAACTGTCTTGAACGCCGTCATCACAAACATGATGAATATGTCAGCAAGAAAAATTGTAAAGTCCCCCCCGACCAAAACTAGCAATAAACACATGGCCCCACATTTCTGGGGGAAAAACTTAACTATGTAAGTAATACTGTAACATACACTGAAAGCAGCAATATAGCTGATATGTGACAGGAACACTTTTAAGCATTTTATGCAAAGGACAAAGTCCTGAAAGTTTCTAAACAAAAACACAGATTTGTGAACAGATACTATATAAACACTAATTAAATGTATATAATTCACTTCCTGGCTCCCTAATTCTGCACTTTATTGAAATTTTGCAAGCCCTTCTTGCAGATTATGCACGGATGTCATAGATAACAGCAAACTGAGTTTTATTTAGAAATAGTTTGAGAACACTACAGCAAGCTGAGGCGTCTTTCTCGTGTACAGATTTATCCCAAAGTAATGAGGTTCATCCCAAACTGGTACATCCACCACTTAAAATCAGCATCACCAGGCCCATATTCAGTGTTTACAGAGATACAGTGAAACTACGCTCAGTCCTCTGTGTAATTTCAGACTTGGTTGTGACATTCACGTATAAAGACTTTATTGATCGAGAGTCCTTTTGAAAGTGCCAAAGGAAAAGATGGGTTCAGCACTTTGTCAACAAACCGACATCTTAAAGAGCTGCGTTGTTGGCAGTGACTGACCACAGATCCTGTAGAAATGTAATCAAACTTTTCATGTGTGTCCTCTTTATTTAACTTGTTCTAATCCTATTGTGTCATAATATTTAAATAATTTGCTTCTTCTTTTTTTTTACAAAGCCAGAATTGTTACTTTTGTTAAAATTGTATAAACTTATCTTAAAATGAAAAAATGTCAACATGTAAAGAGTTAAAAAAAACAAACTTTTTTTTTCCTTTTGGAAAGTATAAATGGTTTTGATGCAATACTGAACAATTGCAGCACATGCTATAACTAACAGTTTAGTTATCATTATTATTATTATTTTTATTATTATTATGTAATTACTTTTCTGGCGTTTGTTTAAATTCGATTCAGTGCCTTATCAGAATCACAGTAACTGAACGTTCTTGTTCAAATAAACCTACATTTACAAACCTTTATTCATTTTGTTCTTTGACACATCAAACCTGGTTTAACTTGAGCTCTGATTTGAACAAAACGATATTACAAGTTACAGTCGACCTTTCAACTTGGCAGCGATTCCCATCCAAAGGATGTGTTTAAGACCTACTTTAATTTGAAATATATTGCTGTTAAGTAGCTTTTTATAAGTACATTTAAGCCAAGCAGTCCATATTCATTTTAAAATGAGCTCAAGCAGTTTATAAGAAGAGGTTTTGGAGTTATAACAGTCAGGAAGCACTGGGCTCAAAGCAACACAAAGACATTTTTAAAGATGCAGCTGGAAAAAAAATGTAATTAGTAAATATTTATTGGAACACGATTGAAGCAAAAACATCATGCCATCGTCAATACAAGGCCCAGGGGCCACAATCAGCCTGAATGAGATTTCGGACTTTTAGCTGTATTTTCATAAGTTTCACAGAATTTCCTACTGATTAAGATCTCCAAATGACATTCATACTACACCAAAGTAATTAAATAAGAGATAAATAACAAACAGAAAAGTTTATTACTATTTCCCCTGTGTTTATCTTAGTCATTTTTTTATACAGGGAGTGCAGAATTATTAGGCAAGTTGTATTTTTGAGGAATAATGTTATTATTGAACAACAACCATGTTCTCAATGAACCCAAAAAACTCATTAATATCAAAGCTGAATGTTTTTGGAAGTAGTTTATATATTTTATCTTATTCTTTCCCAGTTAAATTTACCCTTCATTCTAATTTGTGTTGTACAGTTATTTCATTTTTAACCTTAATTTATATTTTATTCCTTCCTAGTTAAATTTACCCTTTTTAATTTTTCATATTTATTTCTATCTTATTCATAGCCTTTCCGGGTCGGGGGGGGTAGCAGCCTAAGCAAGAGGTAGACTCCCTCTCCCCACAAGATACAGTTCAGAGCTTCTCGCTCCTACGTCTTGTCAAGTGCGAGGTGAACTATTAAAATCATGGCAAGACTGCGACCGGGAGAGACAAGGGTGGAGAGACGAGTGGTGTGAGCAGATTTAATCATGACACTGGAGGGAACACAGGTGGACGAGGAGGAGGCAGACGAGGTGGACGGGGTGGGGAGGAAGGAGATGATGAGTCCTGGGGAGGTGAGGACAGGCTGGCCCTCTTCCTGTAGAGGGTTCAGTGGTGACAGCGGTGGCTCACCGGCGGCGGGGTCGTCCTGGTCCCAGCAGCCCTGCAGGAACATGAGCTGATGGTAGTGCTTCCACTGCGGCACAAACTCGTCGTCCGGGTTGCACGCCTTACTTGCTTTAACCATTTTGTACTGACGCTGAAAAGTCGTACGGAGATTCTTGAACTTGTTTTTGATGTCTTCCACTTGGGAAAAAAACCCATATAAATTAGTTAAAGGGTACATCTGACTGTCAAACCTCACACTCGTCAGCTGATGAGCACACCCCAGATCCTGTTTTCTCACTTTTAGAATAGCAATAATTTGAAATAATGGACTTAATATTTTACTAAAAATATTCGACTAATGACTGAGCCATCAGGAAAGTGGTTACTGAGGCCACAGAGACTCACACAGAAGCTTGAATGGGCTTACCCTCAGCCCAGTGCTACAAAGCGAGCTCAACATACCCACTGACAAGCAGCATAAGCGGTTACACAAAGCTGGTTAACAACTTGTTAAGTTTACCCAGGGCTTCCCCTGTGTGTACACATGAAAGGGGTGTTGGCAGTGCCTGACCACAAGTACTGATAAGTGTACTGGTAATAGAGCAGCTGATTTTTCAAAGTAAGATGAAACTTGTACTATGAGACGATATGAAGAGGTTAACCACACAATACAGACTGAAAGAAACAGCAGTGTGTGCGAGAGGAGATAGGAGATAAGTAAACTATCGTGATTTAAGGGCTACGTACTTAAAGTGGCTTTTTTGATCAGTAAGCGTCGCAGTGGAAAAGAGCTGCTATCTTGACACGCATGTTTAAAGTGGCTTTCATGTCTTTTCGCTTGCAGTTAACAGCCAGAGAGGCTAACAGTAAATAAATTTAACGTACTTAGATTTACGAATCTTAGGCTGAGCAATACTTACACGCTGGATTTTCAAATCGCGGAATGCTCAAACTCAACATAGCTTTGTCCAAAGCTGTCACACTGACTCAAATTATATATAGTGAACTTTATGTACAACATAATCCCATATAGCCCGTATATTTATTGTCATTTACTCTCATGCACTGCTGGCATCATACCACCCTTTCAGATGGAAGGATCCTCTTGAGGAATGCAATAAAGGGTTGTTTAATTACGATACTTGACAACTCACCTCTGTGTTTATGCTCTGCCCTATTCTGCTGTTGTTAGGATCAAAACTGACATAGACGCAGATTAAATCCATTAAACTCACTTTTTCCTGTAGTATATTGTTCTGTAGCTTGGTTCAGTATTTAGTACTTTTGCGCGCTACAGAAATTCCCTGCTAAGCTATTTATTTCGAAGAATTGACGAGGTTTTACTGTTGTTTTATCTTCCTTTTATACCAACATCGTGTCTCTTTCTGCTTATGATATTGAGTTTGACAGATTTGGTTTATTTTCCTGCTGATTTACCTGTGAATGGGACTGGAGGTGGGAGAGTTGACAGCAGGATCCTCAGTGTTTCCAGGGTTTTCCATCGCAGCTGCCGGTTCTTATAACCCTCAGACTTGTGGTTCCACAGGCAGCTATGCTCTGAGAAATGAAACAAAGAAGATATAGCTAAAATACCTGCAGCTTCACAGGGTCTAGAGTGTGATAAATTAGAATAAAATCAAAACGAACTTGTAGTGCGCCTATGTCTAAGGGGCCAAACCAGGCAGGAAAAATGTAAAACAACATTTGCAAGGTCCAAAAATTTTAATTTTTCCTTTAATTTGGCACCTATCCCAGTAACATACACATCAATGTTGCGTTCAATTTCATCACTGTGGTTGTTGTTTAGCTCTTGTGGTGCTATCTAGTCTCTATTAAAGTTAGTTGTTTTTCTTTGGCCATGTTATATACACGATAACAGTATTTTAAAGATATTCCTATGTGGAAAACTGTGGGAACATCTGGAGACATTATTCATTACTTCAAGAAGGATATTTCGTTCACCAATTTAATTATTCTAACAACCTGTAATTATTAACAGCTACACTTATTAATAACAGCCATTTTAAAATATGTTTAAAGCTGTTATTCACTATGATAAACGCTACAGATCTAAAAAAAAAACAACCCACTGGAGTAATGTTAGATACAGATTAAATATAAAAGTCTGCTCTTCTCATTTAAATTAAATCAATTGGCTAAAAGTATGTTTTTATTTTGTTTTTTTTTTATTGAATTGTGCAGAAAATAGCTCATAAAAACATGCAGAGAACTGATTTTTTTTCAGCCGATTTCAGTTGAAAAACAGCTAACTTGACTTCAGTTGCTGGTCGCCATTGCTCGTCTCTTTCTGCTGTCGCTCATTGCTAACAGCCGTTGGTCTCGTCCAGCAACCGTTGCCCACAAATGTTGCAGCTTCCGACACATCAACGAAAAGGGCAACTTTTAAAAACGTCTTTACACGCGGTGTGAAAAGAGTCCGCCAAGGAGAGTGGCACTTACTGGAGAAAAACGCTATAAGCGCCCTCTCTTTCTCCTCCGTCCAGTACCTCTCCGGAGTGAAGCTGAACGGGGACACCTCCATGTTTGATGTTGCCGTTTGCTCCTTCTTCTACGCGGCTGCACGGTCACGTGATACAGAATCCGATTGCCGATTGGACGATTTCTAGAGATTCCTGAATAAATAGCCATATTGCCCGGTTGAGGTCGCTGTCGATTAGTGTTGTTTTTCTTCAACAAACAAAAACACTATTTTATGTATTTTATTTATTTTTCAAGTTTAATTAAAAATTGCTGAGCTTAGTGATTAAAATCAAGACGACTGACTTTTTAAAAATAATTTAAATACATTTATAGTAATTCATTATAACTCTTTAAAAGTAACATTAAAAGGTAAAGTTAAGTTAAAATATTAATTAATTCTCACCTTATAGCAAAGGCAGCACAAACACTAAGGAAGCTGGCTCAGAATCACGACCGATATGAGCTCTTCCAATATGTGGACCACTGATTGGCTGCGTCGACGGCCGCCGCCCCGTCGGACACGACCGCCGGTGCTCGCCTTCCCGAGAGCCAACGTGGGCGCGCACGTCGGCCGCGCGGCCCTCCAGGACATTGCGGCGTGCAGCTCGGATCTCAGCTGACCCTTCTCACCCTGGACACAGTCTGTTTGACCTGCTCCCCTCAGGCAGGAGGCTCCGGTCCATTCGCACCAGAACCTCTCGCCATAAGAACAGTTTCTTCCCCTCTGCTGTTGGACACATGAACAATAACCGTATGACTGTTCCCACCACTAACACATGACCCTACGCTGTGTTCACTGCATCATTCCATGTTTGGCACTGATCACCACCTGCACTCATGTATATATCATGTATATATCTATCCACTTAGCACTTTTAATTCTTATTCTTATTTTTATATTTTTATGACAGTATGTTTGCACTGAAGCACCGCAGCAATTTCCTAATGTTGTAAACCTGCTCAACATTTGGCAATAAACCCTTTCTGATTCTGATTCTGATGGAAATAGCTAAAAAGAAATCAAACTAAAATTATTACATAGACGCTCAAATCACATTGGAGAAAAATGGGAAAAAAGGATGTGGACAAAAAAGCTGCATATGATAATAAAAAATGCTCAATTAAATAGAATTAAATTAAATAAAATAGAACAATGAGCTCAGTAAGTAAAATAATAAGTAAAATTAATTCCAAACTGCTGTTATACTCTTAACAGCTGAGTACAATAATAAATCTATTTAATCACTGGTCTGGGTGAAATATCCAGTCATTTAAAAAGAAATTTTAAAATGATGAGCTGCAGCTGATTGGGGTAAAGAGAAGCAGTTATATGGCTCTTGGGAAAACAAATGACAGCTGGTGTGAGTATGGAGAAAGGACTAAGAAGCAAAGTGTTGTTGAACTGCTTTTATTTCCAATAACCAACGACTGGCTTGTACACTTCCAGACAAGACGATAGACAATGTGTATTTACAGTGTACGACCCATGTACACGTGTCCTGTCCATGTACAATATTTACACTGTAGAGTCAGCTGGACTGCTGGTGAAGGAACTGAGTGTATGCAGTGGAGGATCAATTAAACCTCAGTGTTCACATACACACTAATACCCTGGCTAGGATCTGGGCTCTGTTTGTACTTGAAACTCAGTCACCCTGAAATGAATTTTAGAGTTCATTTAATGAAGAAGGCTAAAAAAAATAGCAGATAAGGTAGCTTTTATCCAGCACCATTTGATTTCATTAAGGTGGACCTATTCTGCTTTTCTGTTCTTCCAAGTGACAAATGTTTATAATAAATAAAGCCAAAGTCTCAAACATTGAGGTACAAACATTGTATGTACAAGCAATTTTAAATGGCTCTAAGTGTTTGGTACATATGTTTTTTTCTGCTCTTCGCTCTGTATGATGTCAAAGAGAGGGTCCTTATATGGTTATCAGCATAGAAGCCCCACCCACGTGCTGGTCAAGTTTTTGTTAGTGAGGGGAAGCCAATCAGAAAAAGGCTGGCTCGCTCAAAGACCTTGGTAAAAATAAGAAAAATGATTGGACTTCCCAATACGATTTAGCCATAAGTTTGGCTAAGATTTAAAGTAAAAGATCAACTTAGCTGCACAAAAGGCCTCGTATAAGATAAACAGGGACTATTTTGACCCATGAATCATGCAAAACTGAAGTTGAAGAGTAATACATACAGAGCTGGAAATGAGTAGAACAGGCTCAGGAAAAAAAAGATGCTTCATGGTCTAAAAATGACCAAATATATGCTTAACGGGAAAGTGCGAGTTTTATCTGTTTCACACTCGATGCCATGAGAGGAAGAAAATACTTATCCTTGCAATGTAAAAATATTTCAGCTTTAAGAAAAAATATGTTTGATCCCAATAAGCTGACTTTCTCCTGTAGGGTGAGGACATTAGCCAGAAATGGAAGACAAGCTTATTGTTAGCAGAGACAGAACAAAAAAAAAAAATAGGAGCAAGGACTTCCTGGTAAATTCAGAAAATGTGCCATTTTAACTCCACTCCAGGTACTGGTCGTACTCCTCTTCCTAACTTCTGCTGTTTGGGTGAATATTTGTGCCTTTGTGTGTGTGTTTGGCGCTTGACATTTGTCCATTTGATCGACAGGCAATATTGGTGTGTGTGTAGTGGTTGTGCGTGTGTGTGTTTGGATGTGGTGGTGTGTTTGTATGTTGGGTTGTGATGTGGCAGGAGGGCAGGTCCTTACGGATTAGAGGAATGTGACTGTGGCATAAGCAAGTGGTGCTATAAGTGCAAAGAAGTCTCTCAGACTCTTTCTTCACTTTCTCTACAGTAAGTTTATTCACGCTTTAATTAAGTTTGAGTAAATTAAAAGCTGATGTGTTTTTTGGGTTGTTTTTTTTTTTTCCAGAAAGTCAAAACCTGTTTGGTGGGTGAAACTTTGAGTTTCACATAAATACTGATCATTGGGATACTAGTGTGCAGGTAAATATACTCAGGTGTAAGAACGAGAAAATGGACTGGTTGTCCGTGTGACCTGAATGAATTTAAAAATGACTGTTGGTCTTGTATAACAGTTTAGCTGCGTAGTCGAACCACCCCACACTCATCCCACTGAGCTACCACACAACCACAACAAGCAAGCCAATCCCACAGTTCAGTGACAATATATACAAACCATAATATCATTCACATGTACATTTACATTTTAAGGTCATAAAGCCAGTCACTATGTACACTCTGTGCCATTTATACACTTTTAAACTCCTCAGCATACGTTGGAAATCTTCTCTAAAGCTCTTGTAGAATCTCTCTCCGGTGCTTCAAGTATAAGTTCATTCACAGGAATTATCACTGCTGCCAGGGGAAACACATACACCTCGTGTCGGCAGTATTTTTGCAAGTTAAAAGTAAAACTTGCATGAAAATACAGGGAGGCAAAGCACCCAGTTGAAGAGAAGAAGACAGGCAAAGACACTGGGTGGCCACAGGTACAACCGTGTGAGGATGTTCCCACTGCCAGCAGCCAGCAGCACTTTTATAAAGTGACTTTGAAAGATAAAAAAATAAAACACAAGTGATGGAAGATAAGAAAAACAAGGTTGATTGTGAGGTAGAGTCACAAACTGGTACACTAAAGTGGGAAAAATAAAAGTAAAATCTATGTGGTGAAGAGGCTCTGTTGAGAATAAAAAGTTTTTAAAAAATTATCTGCATCTTTTGGATCGCCTGAGCCTTAGTTTTGCTCTGGTTTACATTTAAAGAAGGAAAGAAACAAAAAGATTAAATTGATATTTCAGGTGGATGACTCGTCTCTAACGC